CCTGGTGGTCAGTGCGCATCATAGCAACTGGTCAACCGGTCATTCTGCCATTTGGTTGCTGGGCTTTTATTATATAGGATTATGCTTGTCCTGGTAGATCCTGGAAACACAGGTCTGGTTACTGACCCTACTACCAGTTTGTCCTTGTGTATACCTGGGCCATAAGAACCAGGATTGGAGCTGTTATTGGGGGACTGTAGGAACTAAGAAGGGTCTGTTCCACCAAGGAATCTTTTGTGTCTTTTCTCCACAGTGCGACCCTGAAGATAAACCTTGAAGGGAATAAAGACAACGTGAAGATGCTTAGATCCCAGATGCAAAGGTGTCCTATGAGGCCAGTGGACTTAACTTCTGATGAGTAATACTTCTTGGAGCCACATCAACAGCTCAGACCCCAAAGTCAGCTGTCAGGAACTGAGCAGAGGTCAACTAGCAATGACACCCATGGCAGGAGTTTAAGCTTCTGCTGAGTCTGCCCAAGAAAGTGTGGAACCAGGAGCTGTCACTGCCCTTGGCCGTTCTCTGCCATGGCTTGGAATGGAGCTAAGACTTTGGGTCCTATGCACAGACTTGACATGCCCACAGAGTACTCTTGTGAAATATAAATCTTCATCCTCTTTTCCCTTTCCCTTTCTTATATGTTTTTATTGATTTTTTAGAGAAGAAGGGAGAGGGATGAAAACATCGATGAGAAACATCAGTTGGCTGCCTCCTGTATGCCCCCACCAGGGATCGAGCCTGAAACCGGGGCATGTGCCCTGACCGAGATTCGAACCAGTGACCTTTTGGCACACGGGTTGATGCTCAACCACTGAGCCACACAAGCCAGGTTCCCTTTGAATCAACCAGACTTTGAATATCTGCTAGGTGCCAGGAATGAGTTCATCTAACAAATAGCTAATGTGTTTGGATCTCAGTAGAGTCCATTCTGCAAGACTTGACTAAGCCTAGATGAGAGGGGTGGGCCCACATGCTGGATTCAACCACAGGTACTGATGGGACCTGGCTCCTGCTTTCCGGTTACCCACTTGAGTTTTCTGCTGGAGGTTAAAGATACAATTGCTTGGCCAACCAAGTGTTTGTGAGAGCAAGCAAATAAATTGCTCCAGGTACCAGGGCTTGCTGCAACCTGACAAGGTGTGTGCTAGGGCAGGGTTTGCAGGTGAGGGGGACTGCTTCAGGAGGTAACTGAAAGCATGCAGAGGGCAAGAGGCATGACAGGAGGTGTTAAATTCAAACGCAGCAGTCCCATTTTAGGATTGTTTTGATACTGTGATCATGGGTGAGGGGAAGAATCGAGGGATTGGGGCCAAGGTGAGAGGAACACTGGAGTGAATAAATCACGAATGAATTGAAGTATCTCACTGTGGAACACAGAGATAAGTCTGAATCCCAGCACAGCCGCAGAAGTCTGCCACAAGGGGAAGTGGGGGAAATACTGAGAAACCCAGCTCTGCTTTTAGCTGGCCCCGGGCTGCCTGTGTGACTCAGCTATTGTTGCCCAGTTTCTCCTAAGGGTAGTGCAAGTACTGGCAGCAGCAAGCTGCACCTCAGAAAAGCAGGTTGATTCTACAGATCTCTGCAGAGATCCTAACCCCCCGACCTCTGAGCTAGAAGTGAACGTAAATCCACCCAATTTACCCCCACTATCCAACTGCTTTGGTCCCTGGTTGTCTCGTAGTGGAGTTTGCAAAAGTCAGTTTTGCATTGTCATCTTACACCACTGAAGCTGTACTTTGAGGGAAGATGAAGATTCAAATTGGTAGT